CTGAACACACTCTGCCTAATAACTCAAGCTGCAGCTAAATCAGTTATTTTTGGCTTAAGAGCTTTCTAATATAATGACTAGTGAATCGTTTCGCTGAAGATATAGATTTTGGATGATTACTTAAACAAAATATAGATTCGGAACTTCCTAAAATGAATTAAGGACTAACCTAAAATCTTTGAGTTCAGAATTAGTGGCCCTAGTAAGCCAGAATAACAAAAATAATTATCGGACAAGTCCATTGTAGCACATTCTTGGAAGTGAGATAACTAACATGTATGCTGTGAACTCTTAGGAGTCGAATTAAAACGCCAATAAAAATAAACTTCTCACAGGTAAACTGGCTTGTTCACAATGTTGACACAACGGCATACTCTGTGGCTTGGTATAACTGTAGTCTAAGTGGTGACATTAGCGTAACTGTCCCGATGTCTTTGGAAACTGTACTTTTAGATTAGGTGATATAATTTCAACCGTGGGAAAATTAATTTGGCCAAGTACTGTGAAGTGGGAACTATCAAAATGGGTACAAGAATCTTAGGATGGCATGATCAAAGGATGGACATGGATGCACATTTTACCGGGAAGACAAACAAGGGAAAGGATGGTAATGATTATGAGGAATAGAATGTATGATTGTAAACAGAAAGATTAATATGAGACTACTGGATTGACATTCTTAACAATAGAAGAGACGCATGACATGTATCAAGGAATGCCTTTAATACTTGGCCAAGTAATTTCAGCTAGCGTTCGTCAAAACTGCCAGTGTCACTATTGAGATCGATTTCCTCTAAACTATTTCCTTATAGGAGCTGTCTACAGTTGCGCGAGAAACGTGAAAAAATTAAGGATATATCAAGCTGTACACTCACCCGCATGGAAGTCAATCTATAGCCGTCTTGACAGACGGGTGAAATTCCAGGCATGGACAACTTCATAAATGCATTACTTTTAGTTGCATAATTTGTTGAGCCTTCATCTGCCGAATCAGCATGCAACAGTACTTATACCTCCACTAAAAGATGGATAACCATCTGTAACGATTATGACTTGGGGAGTGACCAAAGAAATGTGAAAATATGACCATTTAATAATGCTCCAAAAAGTATGTAAACAGGTGAGTTAATAAAACACATTAATACATTAATACTGTATAAATTGCTTGCTATTATCAGAAGGTCATATGCTTATATATATAAGATTATGATGCTATAGGACAAAGACTTCCTTAGATATAATTCGCAGCTTCCGTGTACGGGATTGTTAGTAAAGAGTTAGAAATCTGCAATCACCAAAGCCAAAATGAATTGTGTATGCGAACAAGCGTATATTGTGAACTACAATCAGTATTTTATGCGAATGGTCTACAGGAATAATGGTAACCCCTTAAACTAGACTCTTTGGTCAATATGGCGTTTGTGTACGTTCAATGAAGTACTGAAACATCGAAAATAACAAAAACTGTCCAAAACTTATGTTAGTTTCAGCTATCTCTACAACCTAAATTCTGATTTAGTTACGGTATATCAAAAATTAAACACGAATGAGCTATTAGAAATTTCACTGAAATTCCCAGAATTGAACTTCATTAGCTACTTTTGACGATAAAACAACTGTCGCTTCTAGCTGCACAATGCCTTAAGACAAATGCACTAATTTATACTCCAATTTATACTCACATACCTTTAGTGGTGGTCGAGTCCAGGTTGACTATGATCACCACTAAATACTAATTACGAACCCTTCACTGAGAAGAAGAATAAATCCATGGTAAAGAGCATATTTGCCGGCGATTTCGTGGTGTCGAGAGAACACCGAAATGGATCCAGGAAAGTGGGGTGAATTTACATAGCTGTTAGAACGAAAACAGCAGCAACACAAACAGAAAGTTTGCGCCTAAAAAGTGTTATAAACGAAAAGCACAGTTAAACAATCACTGGTACAGTTGGTTGTAATGATGAATGTTTCTATCATACCAATCGCGTTCTGTTCGTAAAAGTACATCGCTACACGCCTAAGGACTTTCTTAGGGTAAGCGAAAGTGAGTGTCTAGAATATCCACATTGAATAATACCTAATGATATTGTGGCTTCAAAAGTGGGCGTAAAGAAATCATGATATTGGATATTGTACTAAACTCTGAATGATATTTCAATGCCATACTCCTGGCGGGAAGGGACCCGATTAGCTTGTTGCGTAAGTCCTTACGAAGTTTTTGTTTGGCTTTTTGTGTTTAGCTCATACTTTATTAAATTTTCTGACTGACTGTAATAATATAACTCACGTCAAACATGTATGTGCTTACATTATGCACTTTGCTCTAGTATGTTATATGCAGTTTTCACGTTACAATTTATGTCTGTTAAATTTGGTTCACAAGACATCAAGCATGTAGATCAAAGTAATATTGGTAGAGCCAGATTATTTATGGAATCTTTCTATAATTTTGCCTAGTCTAATTGCTCAGACCTTACATCCCCCCGTTTGTTTCCATAAAACAAATAAGTTCCTTCATTATGTATTTCCACCAATAAGTACATAATGTTAGTAGAGCCTCAAACTTCAAAAATGTGAACGGGTGGCTCGTAGTTTTGCATCTGGAAAAATATAAGTGCTTTTCGAAAGAGCTAATACTATTTATCTTGATAGGACGTTTCATTTTTATGGTAAAGATGTAGATTAAAGTGACAGAAAATTTGGTGGTTCTTATGATTTTCGAAAAGTTCTGTATCTTTAGGGGTCTCAGGTTTTTAACTGTTCATGTGTCTTCCGAACAGACCACTAGGCGTAGGCGGGCATTCGGTTTTCATCTGAATTCGCTAAACAATACCCTCGTCATGTAAAGGCAGTGTGTAGGACTTCCATGTTAGTGGCTATATGCGCGTGACCACGTAAGAGCATTTCGAGAGAGAGAGAGCTGACTATTCTCACTCTCGGCCGTAACAAGGCTTTTGGAGATTATCCATAACGCTACTCATACGGGAAAAAATATATATGCTTTTATTTCTACATCTAATTTGGTCACATATTTGTATGCTTCAACCATATTATTTTAACACTAATAATTTCTCACAAACAATTACGTATGCATTACATTATCACTTACTTATAAATAGGTTTCAGCGTTAATCTTGTTATTCGTTACATAACGCTTATTTGGTCACCATATGAATACTGCTTCGTGGCCATATTTCTAACGTATTCTTGGGTTCGAACCACTTCATGCTTCACCCACGTTTAATTCTATCGTTTTCAGTCAGTCAGACACAACATAAAACTTCGTACGTACGTACATACATAAGTTCAGGTTGCCATACCACATTAGCACACAGACGCAATTGTCAGTTCAAATCCCATAGTGGTTTTAGCGGTAAAGGAGAAGATTGGGTTTCGAAGATATTATTCAAGAAGCATAATTCAGTGGGATAACTTTTGAAAGATAAAGATAATGAAGAATTCTGAAGATTTAGATTTGAGAAACACATTGAATGATGCACCTGCGCCATCGCAAACGATTTTGAACCCTGTCATTCAAATTCTCTAACGATTGGTTACGGTCGTCTCGCGAACCTCAACCAAGTAGTCTATATCTACCAACATGACTTAGTCTAGTTGTCAGTAACTTCATGGATTTGTCCCACATCTTAGTTTGGCCGCCCCTAGCTTCCTTCCAACCTACTCCTACACAACACAACAGCTCGTTGAGGTAGTCGGCAGGTGAGCATTTGTAACACATGTCCCAACCACCTCAACCGATGAAATCTCAATACTTCATCAATTGATCTGCCATCCTTACTCAGTACTCGCCTTCTAATTGCAGCATTGCATACTCAGGTGTCCCACGATACACGAGCAATGCTTCTAAGACATCTATGATCTAATAACCTACGAATATCCTCTACTCTTACGGGCCATGTCTCACAGCCATAAAATAGGATGGGGCGAACTGTTGCGCAGTAGACTGATAGCAGAGCTAATAATATATTTCAGGAACTAGAGAGACAGTTAGGCGATCATGTAAGTGATCTCCATCCGGAGGCAGCTTGGAATGATATCGAAAAAGCTGTGGAAACAGCAGCGGTATCTGCTATTAAAGCAAACCATATGGCTTGGATGAAGCCGTGGATCTTAGTAGCATCCACCAAACTGATGGTTGCTCGAAAACTTATTGCACCTGGCTCTGAACATGATCAAGAGCAAAGTCAGCTTAGGCGCAGGCTGTTAAAAAGCCTACGTAACAACCGCGAGCAGTAGTGGGTGGCGAAAGCAAAAGCGACGGAAAAGGCAGCAGCGATAGGCAACAGTAGACAACTTTTCGGCCGGTATTAGAAATCCATCTGTTACCGAAACTATCGCAGAAAAGGATGGTTGTATCATTCATTCTCAATCCAGGACGAGTGTACTGCGCATTTTATCCTCGTCTTCACTAAACAGTTATCTCGTCTGACAACTGTAAGTTGATTAGTGAGTTTCCACGTTGGTTAGTGTCTGAAAGGTGATGTAGTGTGATATCTGGGAGTATATAACTGACGAAATTAAACGACAAAGAAGTATTTCCAAAAACCACTCGAGGTTGCCACTTTAGATGAGATCTCTTTGTACGCTACACCTCAGTGACATACCGCTACTTTTTTACAAATATACATAAGCAAACCTGATTGGTTGTCTCGAGCTTGTTGTCCATGTAATCCATTTAGGCGTCCAGTAATTGTAAGAGCTGAGGTTTTAAATAAACTCATACCTTCGTGGCTACCTTCAGAAGAGTCCTTTTCTCTCTTAAAAATAGCAACGATTAAGATTTCAAGACATTTTCAGCAGTTAGCAAGTTAATAAATTTTAGTTGTATATATATATATATATATATATATATATATATATACATAATATGCCAAGTCAGTTGTAACCTTTTGAATAAATCTTATCGCATAATTGGCGTCTCATTATCCCATTAATTTTCGTTTTTTTTTCAAATCTCTTGACTATTTTGTAGTTTGAAAATGAGCACTCCTAATCTACCAGATGGTACTATCAGATCCGGTTTACCATTTGATTTCTGTCTCTCTGACTACGCTCTTCCAGTACCAGTCATATCACAAGCATCATCCCTAGTTTCTGCCCCCAGAAATGTATTTAATGCCTATCCATCAAATGCACAATCTAGAGGCAATAACATCCTACAGAAACCTACCGGTAAAACAAATTTAGTTTATAAAAATTATTCTTATAGTCAGTAATTCAACGTCGAATTTCTCCTTAGTCACCACAAATAATATTACGCAGTCAAATACCAACAGTTTTGCAAATTACCCAGCATTCAACAGTATCTTTCAAACACTTTTACGTGGAACAAATTCATCGCAAGTTACCGTCTCCCCTTCAAATGTCTCAGGTTATATAAATACGATAACAGGACCGACTGGAAATTTATTCACTGGTTTTCGACCTACACAACTACCTTATCAATCGAATATGCGTATCACTACTCCTGGAATCGTCTCATCTGGATCCACTCATGGTACAGTAAACTCAGTTGCACTGAAATCAACAAACTATAACACACGTAACAATATGAATTCCACACCGACGTGTACAACCGTGGTCACTACAACTTGCAGTTCACTGACTACTACTAGTCGTACACCGGTTGCATCTGTAGACTCATTGTTCATTTCAAGTAATCTTGTCCCAGTTCCGAACTCAATTAACGGGATGCAAAAATTAGGTCCAATGGCTTTCCTTCGATGGGCGGAAGGTTTGTGACGTCCGATTACTTTTCTATAAAATTTTCCATGAAATTTCACTCTAACCCCTTTTTTGTAGACAGAGAATATATGATAAATTTCACAGTGTTTTGTTCAAATTAGTAAGGAGTTCTCTGAATCGCTTACTGGTGGTGTTTAGTGAAACTACTAAGTCGCTACGATCGTAGTTGACAGATTTGTTTTACACTTAGCTTTTGTATAAAAATTCAGTGTTGATAAAATCAATTTCTTTTGTATGTTGTATATGGTTTTTCTTAGTTAAGAACTGTCGGCGAAAATAAACGTCATGTAAATAATTCGGTTGTTTCATGATAATGATCTTCAGCCTGTTCAAATGAACGAATATAATTGCAATTGATTTAAGAGAAATCCGATAATACAGTAATCGAGTAATGGCTGGCTGCTAACACGTTCAAATGATTGACGTAAACGGTGGTAAATAAACTTACTTCAAAACAAAAAAGGAAGCCAACTGGTAGCATAAAATAAGGCTGTTTCTTTAGTAAAATATTATGTCCTATGTATAGCATATTGGTTCTTTTTTTAAGCGATTAGGGAATAGTCAGTCAGTCAGTTGCAACGTAGAACTTCGTACGTATGTACATAAGTTCATGTTGCCATACCACATTAACACAGAGACGCAAATGTCAAATCAAATCCCATAGTGATAGAGAGATAGTAGAGGTATTAATGGTAATGAAGAAGACTAGGGTTCGAAGATATTATTCAAGAAGTATAATTCAGTGAAATAAATCTAAAAAGAGATAAGATTAGAAAGACAAAGGTAGAGGTGTTGACGATTCCAGAAGATTAGGATTTGAAAGAGCTCAACGAATTGACGCACTTGCGCCATTGAAAACGATTCTGAGCCATGTCGTTCAAGGTCTCCAACCATCGGCGACTATCGTCTTGCAGACCCCAACCATGTAGTCTACATCTACCAACATCACTCAGTCCACTAGTCAGTGACTTCATGGATTTCTGCCATGTTTTGGTCTGGCCGCCCCTAGCTTTCTTCCAACCTACTCCTACACCACAAAACAGCTCGTCGCGGCAGTCGGTGGTTAGCCATACGTAACACATGTCCCAACCACCTCAAGTGATGAAGTTTCAATACTTCATCTATTGATCTGCCATTCTTACCTAGCACCCGTTTCCTAACGACAGCATTGCTTACTCGGTTGTCCCACGATATACGAGCAATGCTTCTTAAACATCTATGATCGAATACTAGTAACCTACGAACATCTACTACTCCTAACGGTCATGTTTCACAGCCATATAGGAGAACGGAGAGAACTGCTGCGCAGTACGCTCGTCCTTTGGTTAGCGAACGGATATCACGCCTACGCCATAAGTGACGCAGGTTGGCAAAAGACAATCGAGCTTTGTGTATCCGCGCGGAGATTTCGTCAGTCACCAGACTATCAGCACTGATGAGACTCCCCAGATAAGTGAAGTGATCAACACGCTCGATAAAAGATTTACACATCAAATCACTCATCAACAAATTCGAACTTGACTCAAGCTTCGCAGCTCTAAGATATCAATCAGATCGATACAATAAGATAGTTTGAATTTTTTTTTGATTCAAACAACATCCCATGATATGAATTCGTTGTTTTTTCGTAATCTGTTTCATGCTAGTTAAATTTCCATTAACGTTTATAGGATTATATTCAATTTTCTGCTAAGTTCTGGTTTCATCTTGTATGTACTTTGTAGTAACTAAAAACAGTGGTACTTACTACTTACTTACTTTCGCCTGTTACCCCCAATGGAGCATAGACCAGTTTTCTCCAACCAACTCTGTCCTGGGCTTCCCTCTCCACTTCTGTCCAATGTTTGTTCATTCCTCTCATATCTATCTATATTTCTTGGCCTAGTGTGTTCCTTGACCTTCCTCTTTTCCTTTTGCCTTGAGGATTCCAAGTGAGGACTTGTCTCGTGACGCAGTTAGGTGCTTTTCGTAGTGTGTGTCCTATCCACTTCCACCACTTCTTCCTGATTTCCTCCTCCATTGGAATCTGGTTTGTTCTCTCCCAAAGTACGTTGTCGCTGATGGTGTCTGGCCAACGAATCCGAAGTATTTTGCGTAGACAACTGTTAATAAACACTTGTATCTTCTGAATGATGGCTTTGGTAGTTCTCCCAGTTTCCTCTCCATACATTAGAACTGTCTTGACATTTGTGTTTTGAAAATCCTGATTTTGGTTTTGGTTGGCAGTTGTTTGGAGTTGCAGATATTTTTCAACTGTAGAAATACAGCCCTTTCTTTGCTAATCCGCGCCCTCACATCTGCATCGGATCCACCGTGCTCGTCGATGATGCTGCCCAGATTGTGTAGTGGTAATGTATGACAATTATGTTAACGCTAATAGCATTTATAATGCATATCAAATTCACAAGATTTCATTTTTTTATTGTTTTTCGACGTAACCGTTTTGATTTCTGCTTATCACTATTGAATTTCCATTAATAATTCATATTGGAATATTTCTTTCCTTTTCATCGTGTGTATTAATTAAGTGTGTACACGATTGTTTAAAAAGGAGCGAATTTCTGTTTGGCCTCGATGCAAAGTCGATACAGATGCATTGCATGAAATGAATTGGATTATTGCTCCACCTGGTCTTTTGGGTATTTATTCGGAATCTCCTTTTTTACGACCTGTAGTACTGCTACGTCGTGTTCAGTTTACCGCTTCTGGAAATATTAATCCAAATATTCCGGATACTGACAATATGGTCCGTTCTTTGCGTGAAATGGCTGATGCCAAAGTAACAAAATATCCAGGTTTTGCTCCACATTTTCCACCTTCCGCAGCTTCGGTTGGTTTTACGACAGATTACATGACCTATGTGTTTAACTTGGAATTGGAGCGTCAAGTTGTCAAACTACTACGTTCTAAGTAAGTTTACATATACTAATATGATAAAAGTAAAGTAAAAGAATTAGGTTAAAGCTCTTTGAATTTTTTAAGCTAGTTATTTAAATTGTAATAGTTAACTCATAATCCCGATTGTAGCTGCCACCTTGACGTAACGGTCGGGCTGGCCTATCGTGATGACCCAACCGAGCTTTATTGGCTGGAACGCATGTCCCTTTAGGTTGTACCATATCAGGTAGGTCGATTAGAGGACAGTAAGTATAAAAGCAGCAACTTGAAGTGTGAAGGCGAAGTCGTACTGCTGGTTGTAGAGGTCTGTGATGTCAGTGAGGTGTTTCCCTCGAACAAGCAGCATCTGCAGCGATGCTGCCTTCTTACAACGAAAGGAATGGGTTAGAAGAAAAGGTCGACCGTACTAATGTCATACCTCACCTTAACCCACACATTTCCGTCTCGAACGGTAAGGCATCTACAATGTAGAGCTAACACTTTAAAAGCTACCCATTAAAAAGCCGCGCGCGACCGACCTAAAGTTGTCCCTTGGGCTCTGTCGTCACGCTGCCTGGTCGCTAAGACTGAAAATGACCCAACTTCTTTTTCAGGTTCCTCAAGGAACACATTTCCGCTGTGTGGGCAACTGGAGAGTGACATCCACCCTCTTAACCCTAATAGCACACGTGATTAACTTACAGTCAAATACTTCCTTCTACTGTTAATAAATATCCGCGACTAACCCTTCTCGTATGCCATTATCACCTCGTGTCGCTAATGCTATCGATTTAAGTACACAAAATGTTGGGGTTTCTAATGTTCGGACTTTGTGCCAAAGAAGATAACAGGCGCTTCCTTTGCTAGGACTTTAGAATCTAGCGGCATTAATGTATGCTGGGTCTCCAAAACGCACAATCAAGATCTGTGTACAGTCATTAATTTGACCTCACCAGGTCAACATAATGGAACCGTCTCAATTTACGCTTCGCGAATCTGGGATCCCCGCCGCTGCTTTCCTTGTCGTCGTTGCTGGTGCAGGTATAGGTGGTCGCTTATGCGCTATCTGACAATAATAATTCGGCAAAACAGGGACACTCACCATTGCCCATTCGTTGCCTCTGCCTTCGCTCCCAATTATTGCAGCTCAGGTGAGATAAGAGATGAATTTTACGGAAAGCTTTTCAACCTCCTTCAATAAGTTAGGCGTTCTGATATAGTAATAGTGGCTGGTGACTTCAGTGCTCAAGTAGGTAGACTGAGTGAAAAGGAAAAACGCCTGGGTGAATCTTATGGTGTCGCGGCTCATCGAACAGACAATGATCACAATCTGCCCAGACAACTGCCTAGAACTAGCAAATAGTAAATTTAGACACAAGGAGAAACATCCTTAGACATGGTGACCCCAAAAGTCGTCCCAACACTGGACACAACTAGATCATATCGCAATCAACCACCGATAGAGGGGTTCGATAGAGGACTGTTGCCCGTCCTGGGGCACATGTTGAGGTTCAGATCATGCTCTAGTGTAAGCACATATGTCTGCAGCTTAGTAGACGTAAGAAAGATAGTAAGGAAATTCCTTGTAGTCCTTTTAACGACAACAAGGTCGAGTATATTTCTGGAGCAACTATAAAAACAGTCAGTCAGCCATGTAAGTTATGCCCACCCCGAGGCAGCTTGGAGTGATATCGAAAACGCCATGAAAACAGCAGTGATATCTGCCAGTAAGTTAAACCAAAAGATTAGGGAAATTAGTGGATTTCAGTAGTACCCGCTGAACGTTATCTTTAGAATGTTAAACCTTCCTCTTCAAGAAGTCTGCAATCCTGTCAATTCAGAATTCAATACTCATGTAGAGTACTTCTTTTGATGCAGAATTTATTGGTTCATTTGGTGATTCGAATTTGGCATTCTTTTTAATCAATTTCGATGGATATGCATCCTCCATAAATCGTTTTCTTCGGAGGTTTAGTAGTTATTCGTCTAAGATATTCTGACCATAAATCTCTAAGTGAACCAATAACTTCTGCATCAGAGTAAATGCTCTGCAGGAGTATTGAATTGAGAAGTGATTGAAATGCAGACTTCTTGAAGAGGAAGATTTTATTTAAACTTCCTACAGATAACATTTTCAAATCGACCTTTTGAGTATAGTGTTCTCCAGTTGACAATGTTTATCACAGAACTCAAAGCGTAAGCTCTTGCATTCGACCACTTCCATTTGTAATAAATAGTCTATTACCCCTGTTCTTGTAGAAACGTAGATTAGTGATTTATACATTCAACGTTAAAGTCCCGCTCTATTTACTCCATTTTGGAAAGCCGGTTAGTGTCATTGTTCCTTACATTTACTTAAAATGTGGATCATACCCAAGTATCCAGTAAATAAATAAACTGATTCGTAATTTATGTATAATAATAATAATAATCTTTAAAAGGTATATTTAAAAAAGGAAATTATTTGTCCCTCTATACAATTAGCTGTAACTCATTCTACTAAATATGTCTTATCATTTTTAGAATTTTTTTCAGTAGTTAGCAAATGAAATCAATTAGTAAGAAGTTTTTATAGCTTGGCGTTACACGCAGTTCTTTTGATTACTACTAGATTTAGTGATTTATGATGATAGTAGTACCTTATGAAAGTAGGATAAATTAACATCTTACAATCAAATATATATATATTGCTTATATTCTCTTTACTTTCACAGATGTTAGCCTATAGTGATTTCCAGCTGTTGATTTTCGTTTTTTCTTCAGTCAGTCAGTCAGATGCAACATAGAATTTCGTACGTAAGTACATCAGTTCATGTTGCCATACTACATTAGCACAGAGACACAGATGTCAAATCAAATCCCATAGTGATAAAGATAGTAGGGATATTAATGGTAACGAAGAAGACTAGGGTTTGAAGATATGTTTCGAGAAGTATAATTCAGTGAGATAAGGTTAGAAAGACAAAGGTAGAGTTGTTGACTAATCCAGAAGATTAGGATTTGAGAGAGCACAACGAATGGATGCACTTGCGCGATTGCAAACGATTCTGAGCCATGTCGTTCAAGGTCTCTCTCTAACTATTGGTGACTTTCGTCTCGCGGACCCCAACCAGGTAGTCTACATCTACCAACATGACTCATTCCATGTTTTGGTTTGGCCGTCCCTAGCTTTCTTCCAACCTACTCCTACACCACAAAACATAGCTCGTCGAGGCAGTCGGTGGTTAGCCGTCCCAACCACTTCATCTATTGATTTGCCATCCTTACCTAGCACCCCTTTCCTAATGGCAGCATTGCTTATACGGTTGTCCCACGATATACGAGCAATGCTTCTTAAACATCTATGATCGAATACTAGAAACCTACGAACATTTACTCTTAACGGCCATGTTCGGCATCCATATAGGAGAACGGAGCGAACTGCTGCACAGTACACTCGTCCTTTGGTTAGCGAACGGATATCTCATCTACGCCGTGAACGGCGTAAACTGGCAAAAGCAAATCGAGCTTTCTGTATCTGCGTTCAGATTTCGTCAGTCACCAGGCCATCAGCACTGATGAGACTCTCCAGATAAGTGAAGTGATCAACACGCTCGACTACTTCACTCCATATCACTAGTTCATGTGCCGATGCAACCCAGTCTTGAAGATAAGATTCACGAAAATGGGAAACAATGACCTATGTTTTTTTGAAAAAAAACACAAAGTCATGGGCACTTCTAGGCGACCAGTCCGGTAGACGGTTGAAATAGATGAAACTGGCCATCAATTAATTATACTGTAAAATGTCGATTAAGGAAATTCGAAGAAGCATAAACAATACTAGTCTGTGACAAATTTATCTCAGCTTACTTACTGTAAACATTGATTTTCTAGGCTGTCATGATATCCTGGCTTTGTATGAAAACTGTTGAAATGAAACATATAAATGAAGGAATTCTTTTTAAATCGGTCAGTCAGTCAGTCAGCTACAACGTAGAATTTGATACTTATTTACATCTGTTCATGTTGCCATAACACATTATTGCAGAGAAATGGAAATTAACTGTTCAAATCTCATAGTAGTAGCAGTAATGAAGATTAGGGACCGATAATTCGGGAAGTATAAACCAGTAAAACAAGCAGAGTTTACGAAGAATTCATACGATTGAGATCTGAGACAACATCTGCGCCATTGCAAACGATTTTGAGCCATGTCATTCAAGTTCTCTAACCATTGGTTATGATTGTCTCACCGACCCTAGATCACAAAACATGGCTCGTCGAGTCAATTGGCAGGAGGTGCATACATAATGCACATCTCAAACATTAACGAAAATTCACATTGGTGTTTTATTGAATATCTGAGATGTACGTTCTATGGGCAAGTGTAAATAGTCGAATAGTCATAACGTAATTGTCGTAATCATTATGTTACTAAGCATAATATTATTTTGATAGTAACAATCTTCACAGCGTTTAAAAACCAAGAACATGTAAATTCATAGAAAGATATTGTTTTCTAACTGAGAAACTACAAAAGATTCTCGGCATCATCCAAACACTGACGTTGTTCTTACGTTTTGCCTACCAAATAACATGATAAGTAAATCAGATAGTGTTCTTATTTTTCTGGTCATTTCCATCGATCAGTCTGTGTCTTCAACTTTTAACTGTAATCTGTTTGTCACACTAAAATTTGAACAACACATGTATTATTAAATGTGGATATTATAGACTATTAAAGATAGACAGACAGACAGATACAACTCAAAACTTCGTACGTAAGTACATCAGTTCAGGTTGCCATACTACATCAGCACACAGACGCAACTGTCAGTTCAAATCCAACAGTGATAGCAATAATAGAAGTATTAGAAGTAATGGAGAAGATTAGGGAGCGAAGATATGATTCGAAAAGTATAATTCAGTGAGATAAATTTAGAAGGAGAAAGGTAGAGATTATGAGGAATGCAGAAGGTTAGAATTACAGAGAACACAAAAGTGGATGCACCTGCGCCATTGCAAACGATTTTGAGCCGTGTCATTCAAGG